CAACCCTGCTTCATCGGCATAGGAATTCCAAAGTCCAGTATTCCAAAAACTAGGGACCTGACCAAACAAGGCATGCGAAGGAGGCACGTAGCGATCAATAAGCATCGGGTGCTCAAGCAGAAAACCAACCTCAAGCCTAGTAACTCCAGCAGGCGGCCTAATCTTGCGACCGGCAGTCGCCACAGCATGCAACCAAATCTGTCGGCAAAGCCAAGCCGTTTCAACCGTTTCACGATCAACCTTCGACCGCTGTGCTGCTGACAAATCTGGAAGGCCGTATAAGTCCAATGGCCCGCGCACAGGTGGGACAACGCTACTCCCATGAGCATGTGTCAAACGTACCACGCAGTGGAGCACCAAGAAGATGCGACACTTTGCCTTGGATGGCGCCCCAAACTAGAGCGCGCCAAGCAGGAGTGCGTAGCCTGAGCCTCTGGTAATGTCCAATTCCAGGACAGCCACATTCTTGGACTCAAGGTGCGTTTAGGGCCTGGGGCTCCAGCGTACAGATGAACAATCCACTCTGGGGCATTGAGCAATGCACGACGGCGACGCCGATTGAGATGCGTCAAACCCTTTAGGAGCTCCCATCCTGAAACCTGAGCAACATCCTCAACAAGTCCCTGCAAAGCTGCTTGAGGAACATCTGCCAAGACAGGCGCGGCCTGCAACGCTAGTTGGGCTGAATTGGTAGATCCAAGGCTCACATAGTCCTGCATGTGATCCCACCAGCTCTTTGACATCAAGGCTTTGACAGCTCGGATGCGAGAGGTACCTTCGGCCACATTCGCCTCCAGAGACTTCAAGTCCTCTAGCCGCGTGTCTTCTAGCTTGCTGATTAGCACCAAGGCTTCTGATTCCATGATCTCTGGACACCCACCTTTAACCCTCAAGCGAAAGGCACGACCCGAAGGAGCAATCAAACGGCATCGCGAGGCAGTCCAATCCAAACGATACCCAAGCTGCTGGATGACAGAACCCAGCGGCACGATGGCTTGGGCACTGGACGTGGGAGGCAGCAAAAGAGTACCAGCAGTAGACAAACGCATCGCCGAAGTCTCCTTTCCAGCCAGTGACACGACAACGGGTTGCGCACCAGCCCATTCAGCTTCAGAACTTGCAGCGCGAAGGGCATGAGTGGCCCCACTGTCTACCAAAGCCAAAAAACTAGGACTACCATCTACTTCCAAAACCTGCCCAGGCTCAATGGCTGTGAGATGGATGGTCTTAATGCTCGGCTTAGGCTCCTCCTGTGCTGCAGGTTTGTCTTCAATCGCCGGAGGCTGCGCGGGAGCGGCTGGGGTGGATGCAGGAGGAAAGGCTTCGGAAGAACTAGCAGCTGCAAACATCATGCGCATAAACGCTGTGAAGTCCTCCGCTCGGCCTGGGCTCGCGCCCGGCTGGATTGCAGTAGACGCCTGATCAGCCGCTGTGTAGGCCTGTGGCCTGCAACAGTGTTGGTGTTTCCTCCACCTGGCTGTCCTTTCCCCTTTGGGCTTCCTCCAGCTACCGGGCAGTCCTTTTGGCGGTGTGCCTTAGAGCCACATGCTAAGCACTTCTTGCTGCGCTCCTGACGAGAAAGTCCTGACATGTCGTCGCTAAACGTGCACTTAGGACCCCGCCTACACCCCGAAGTACCCATGAAAAACTTGCAAGGCTTTGAGGTCTGCGGCTGACCACTGGGCTTTGGAGATGTTCCAGGACTGGGCGTGCCTACAGCTCGAACCTTAGGGGCACACACACCTGTGGCCTTAGAGACTGCAAGGGCTTCCATCTCTGCAAGCAAGTGCTTGTGGTACTCAAGGACTGCAGGCGAAGTTGGTTGAGCATCCATCGTTAACATGGAACGAAGCATAAACGTTCGAAACTTTGCTTTTTCATGCTGCGCCAAAACTTGGCTAGTGATGGTAGTGAGGCTCTTGGACAAAATGGTCGAGTCCGGAGGTGACATGTTGCAACTTTCAGCGATTGTACCAGCGAATCCACTCACGCAACGACTTCACGGCTGAGGAGGGATCAGATGCTGGAGTGGGTTGCATGAGAATTCTTCTGAATAACCTCCTTTTCTGAACCTCCACCTGGTTGGTACGTGGTGTGCAAACGGAAAAGGATGGAAGGAGCTGATTGATTGCATTTGCGGGCCACAATGTCTGCTTTGATAGACTCGGGAACTGCCGCCATAAGCATGCTACATATCCTAAAGTTGACACGCGCCCATCGCCCTTGAAGCAACTCAGCCGGCACAACGGGCTCAACCTTTAGCCTATCTAAGGGTGATGACGAGATCCAAGCCCCATAGGCCGTATCAACCACATCCAAAACCTGGCGCCACCACTCTGCTGCTGTGTCCGAAACATCACCGACCAAGCCCCCAATCACAACTAACCAATCTTGGCACAGAAGAGACCCTTCATCCGAAGTGAGCTCTGCCAAAGCTGGGAAACTCGAGATGCCTGGTTTAACAGCTTCAGGGTTGGTGGGAGAATTGCCGCCATCGCGTTCGGCGCGAGACCCCTTGAGCATCTCTATGGCATCTTGAAGTTGATGCATCCCAGCAATCAGTATCTCACGATCTGTGGGTCCTGATGCACTCGCGGCTCCTGCTGGCAATGTGCCTCTGGGTTCTGCTTGTGGCCTCTGCGGTGCAGGGCTGGAAGACCGCGCACCGGAACCAAGGAGCCCTGAGAACAAACCAGCGAAGCCCTGAGGCTCGGGGGCGGAAGGAGGCGGAGGAGGAAGCGGTGAGGATGAAGAAGGGGCAAATCCAACCCCAGTGCTGGCGACAGGATGTGAGCCGAACCCACTATCACCAAACCCACTAAAGCCAACCTCCCAAAGTACCCACCTGCTGCAACGCCGTAGCCTCGACATCACCACCCTGCTGAGACCGAATCCTCGAGAGTTCGGCCTCAGCACGACCAGCTCTCTCTTGCTCAGCCCGCAATTGCTGCTTCAACCCATCAAGCTGTCGCGCAACTTCTGCCTGAATCGCATCATGCGGAATAGATGAGGACTCGGTGTGCGGAGGCCTGTCCGGTGACCCGGACCCGTAGAGCGAGGGAGCTCTTTGCTCCATGGCAGCAAGCTGCTGCGCGTTGGCCCCAATGAACAACGGCATCGGCACTTGACCCTCATCTTGCAGGACGCGGCCTCCTCTCTCGAGGGGCTGTAGTGGTCGCGACGGCGTTGGAGGAGAAGTCAGGGGACTAGGTGCCCACCCTTGCGGCAGTGGCTGTACGTTTGCCGCGCCACCAAACAGAGACTGCAGTCTTCCTAGCAACTGACTAGGAAAAGCCTGAGCCCCAGTCCTCAGCACTACTTCCAGGATTCGCTGGTTGTACCCTGAGACGCCTGCGGCAACATTGATCTGAGCGCTGGCCATTCCACTTTCGGTGGCCACACTGAAACCCTGAGTCACTGCAGTTGCATCTCCATGCACCCCACTCGCATCAGCGACCTCCGTGGCAGATACTGCTTCAGACGTAACGCCAGCTGTGCCCAAGCCTCCAACCTGGCCTAGTGTTCCATCGCCTCCTGTCCTACCGACTGCTGAAACTCTCGGCCTGGCCTCTTGGCCGGCTGTTCCAACAGTTTCTTGTGGCAGCTGAAGGGATGGCACTGGACCAGCTGTGGAAGTCGACCCCAATAGGCTGCGCAAGCCCAGGGGGCGATGGCACTCCAACTCGGACAATTGTACCATTTGCGATGCATCCCCGCCTCCCCGCACACCAGGCAGAGAGGCCGGAGAAGCCACCGCTCCGGTTGCTTCTGACCCAGGCGTTGGGCTCATCACCTGTTGAAAGTGTTCACCCTGGGTGGCCATACCCTGCAGCGAAGCTCACGCAGAATGTTTTCTATGGCTGGGCGCAGAGGCGACTCACGATCTCAACGAAGCAACAAGAGAACCGACAAACCAACAAACTACTGTACAGCTTTACAAGTTGTTGGTTACAGTACACATGGCTCAAGAGGTTTACCTTTTGTAGCCTTCCTCTACGAGCCGAAGCATAACAGCGCACAAACACTGGCAGACTACAGGTACCTAGCAGCTATACAAGGGCCCTGAAAGCTAGCCACAACTGCAAACTACAAGTGCTGATCACTGACATGCTGGAGCGTTTTCAACAGTTTGGGTTCCAAAAAAGTTTTGATCGAAAGCTTTGACCGAATTTTGGAACCTGAATTTGAATTTGGGGGCTGGGGCTGGCGCTAGTGGAACCGGATTTGAATCTGGGGCTGCTTTTGACTTTGGGTCTGGGCTGCGGCTGGGGTGGAGGCCGGGAGGACGGGAGGCTGGGAGGCTGGGAAGCTGGGGCTTGGGCAGGGCTCTGATTTTGGATTGCTTGTGGCTGGGCTCTGGTGGAGCCTGATTTTGAATTTGGGGCTGGTGGGGGCGGTTCTACTCTTCCATGGTGGTGGGTGGTGTGTCTTCTCTCTTTTGACTTTAATTCCAAAACGCCAGCCCCAGCAGACAGCATTTGTAGGGTCCCAAACCCTCAAAACCAACCAACCGAACCCTCAAGTTTAGGCTGCGGTTGTCAAGGCAGAGATGCTTGTGCAGCCGATCTCGGATTGGCGAGGCGGGGTTTTGCCGGTTTTGCAGTTTCAAATTTCCAGCAGAATCTCCAAAGGCGAGCTTACAGCGTGTAGAGCAGGGAAGGAGTATCAAAAAATGACTCCAACTTCTCGCATCCCACAGCCGAAGCATCAATCATCGATAACCAGTCGGTACTCGAACTACTGTCGCTTCTGGTCGCAAACTGGACGTCACAGGCTTCACTGGGCAGGGACTGAAGGAGAGCCTTCGGTATGCAACAACCTACAATGCTTTGTTCTTGCGACAATGACGCGGGCTGCGGAGCGGGAGGCTGCAACACGTTTCCATCATTATCTTGCAGTGATTGTGGGCCAGTTAAACCCCACGTCAGCCCGGTACCATAGATGCTGCCCGCCATCGAGCCTACATTTCAGTGTACAGCCTGCAAGACTCCCTCGGTCGCTCACCTCCCAAGCAAAACTTGAAGCCAAGACACAAAGCAGGTCATGAACCTCAGGTTCCAAGTTGCTTCGAAACATAGACGAACACAGGGTAAGTGCAGCTGGAGTCGCATAGCCGTGCTCCCTTCCACGGATTTCTTGCCGCCAGGCCCGATGCCTATGCCTACAGCGCTCGGTTTTAGTGCCAGTTTAACATAATCGTGGGTCTTCTGCCGAGGGACTGCAGATGCTCTGGCCAAAGGACCGGCCGATGAGGGCTGCCGCCATATCTCCCATTACGAGAAAAAGAATGGATGTCATTGCTATCCTCGGCTGCGCTGTCTCCGCCGCTGCCCCTTGTGCTCTGCTGGCGAAATCCAAGAGGGCTCAGGAGGACACACGGGTGCAAACATCTGGATGGCCAGCGTGCAACCCAGGGAGAAATAGCCTCAGTCACGAAACAAAGCCTGCATTGCCTGCATTGCCTGCATCATCTTTAGGGAGTTCCGGTTCCGGCTGAGCGGCTACCTCCACAGAGCCGGTCCGCCTCCTTCTCTCGGAGGATGGACTTCAGGGGCCAATGATCCCGGACGAAGGGGACGTGCACACGTAGCCAGTCCGCACCTAAGGCAGAGAATGCCCGAACTCGCTTTCTTTCTGCTGGGCCGCTGGGCCTGGACCACATAGTTGGCTCATGCTTCCACAAAGACTTCACAACATGCCGTCCCTCTTGATCCGCCCAACTGCAAGTTGCTGTGCACGAAACAGCTCACAGCTGATGAGACAAGCAAAACACACGACGAGCACGTGTACTGACGGCCGAGAGTCGACTCGGCCGGGGCACCAGCGAGGCCGACTCGTGCGCTTTCGCTGCAGATTTGCTGAGACCGCGAAAATCGCGCTGGAGATTCAATGAGTTGGAGTCGCGACCGAAGGCGGCCGGCGGCGCGATAAAGAAATCTGGTGAACCGTGATCGCCAAAGGAGGGGGCTTCAGCAATGGGGTCAACGGAATCGCCAAATGAAGGGGGCGTGTTTGAGATAAGTGATCGCCGAATCAGGGCGCAGGCTGAAGTCTTCCCACTGCTTGAAGCGCGCATTCCTCGTGCTCGAGTGGCGCATGTGCGGGTGCTTGAATAGTGCGTTGCTAAGGCTTGAATCGCTCGTTCTGGTGCTTGAATCGCGTGCGGCTGGTGCTTGGAGCGCTTGTGCTTGAATCCTTGGTGCTTGAATCGGACTGGTGCTTGACTGTAACGCCACGACGAGCAGGACCACCAGTACTAACCCCACGACCAAGACAACAAGGATCACGAGAAAGCACCAGGACGATCCCATACCAAAGCCACCACCGCCACCACACCAAGGGACCATGAAGCTGAAGGCAGGACCGAAGGAACCACCCTCATAGTGTGTCGCAACTGACATTCGAGGTGCTTCGAGCGCTGTCATTCAGTGCTTGGGCTATCTTAGGCTCTGGGCAACCGAGACCCCCATAAGAAGGAGTCACCCAGGCTCCCGGCTGACCCCGAGTACCGTGATCAGCCAGCAGAGCTGCACGCAGAAACCTCCGACAGGTTTTCATCTTTGGCAGCGGCATGTCATGACACTGTCTTTCTTTGGCACACGGCTTCTGGACACGCCATGAGTGAGCAGCAGCTGGTACACCAGGGGAACCTTCCACCAGAAAGGCGAACCGCGCGGGCGTCGCGGCGTCGCGGCGTCTGAGGCCGCACGCCAGCAAACCGCAGAGGTGGAAGATCTTGCCTGGCACACAGCGGACTCAGCCACAGGCCAGGCCAAAGTCAAAGTGCCGGGTCCCAAGCGCTCGATCTCCGTTGCAGTCTTCTTCACCTCGCCGAAGCTTCCACGCTGGAAGGCACCGGCTGTGCCGCGTCTCCTGCCTTGTGCATCGCCACTCCAGCATCGGCCAGAAGGCGGCGCACGGCCTGCAAACCCCAGCCACCAGCCATCACCGCCACCACCGCCATCACCACTCTGCAATGCGCATTTCTTGCAACTCTCCCGTGAAAGCAGGCTTTCGGTCTACACGCAATGAGCGCAAGACGCGGCAGCCCACGCCTGAGGCCGCAAGCTACGGATCGTGATGCCAAAGACCAGCGCTGCCAGAGCAAGCACCTAAGACAGCGCGGGGGACGCGCAGCGAGTGAGCGGCGCTTTCATCAGCTCCGCGGCTCTGCGGCTCTGCTCTGAGGCTTCAGCACTCATGTATGCTGTGAGAAACGGCTGGGAAGGTAGCGGCAACGCCTCAGGCGAGCAGTCTTTGGACAGGCACTCAAAGCAGCGTGGCCGCTCTGACCTCTTCGGTGGTGACCCATTCTTTGCCTCAGATCCAGAACGCGGCGCATCTTTCCGTCCCCGGCAGAAAGAAAAGGGCTGCCGGCAGTAGGTGGTGTTTGGCATCAGCCTCAGTGCTGCGGAGAACACGCACAGCTTAAGCTGTGAGCTGTGGGACGAGTGCCGGGCTACGGCGGCTACGGCGGCTACGGCGTCTCGACTCTCGACTACATGGTCTACATGACTGCACATGGGCTTGAGAAACACTTCGCCTCACGGGATGTGCTGTCAGGCTTCCCCCTCGCCGTGGCTCCACGTGCTGCACTGAAGGCTCCTATGGGTCTGCCTTGTGGAGACCAAGACCAAGATTGAGCCACGCAGCAACTCGTTTTGCACTATGCCTGCACGTGGCTCCCTCAACTAACGCAGATGCGCTCCGTCGAACCGTAGGTTCAAAGTCTTCTGATACTTCAAGCCCTGAAGCCCTGAACTGTCTGCAAACGCATGAACCCTGATGTGTGAAGCCGAGGGCCGTTGCGGCTCCTCTAAGCGGAGCGTCCCAAAAGCGCCCGGAGACACGTCGACCGTGATCACATCATATGATGCCAAGGCATCGCTTCGCAGATGCTTCTCCATTGCCTCTCTGCGCAGCGAGAGCCGACAACACTGCTGACCGACTTCTCACATGCGGGCAGCAGTGCTGGCATGGTGTCAGTCACAAACACAGGCTCTCTTCGACAATCGCTTCTGCCGCTTCCAAAGCCTTTCGGAGCCCAGCCACCGCCTTTTCCTAGCTCGGGTAAAGCCTAGCACGGCCACGAAACGCTCGGACGAAGAGCCCCGTGGCCGTGGCGGCACTGCAGGCAAACGATGCCTCCTCAGATCTTTGGCGGCTCGAGGGGCGGCAAGGGCCGCGCACTCGCAGTACAAGTCGGGCCGCAGTTCACCGGATTAACTTCACTCCCGTAAAGGGCCTGTTTCAGCGTGACACCGCGCCAGGAGGAGGAAATGGGTGAAGAAATAGAAGGGCGGCTCCTCTGAGCTGTGAGCTGAGGGTCTGTGAGAAAATTTCGCCTAACGAAGATTGGAACGGTTCCCGAAGGGCCCTATCACTCGGGCAATGCGATGTCTTCCAGCACCACTTTGTGTAGCATGGACACAAGTCGAAGTGCTCCGAGACCAGCAGCCCGGTGAGTCCTCAGATTCTCAGCTTCTCCGACACCCCACTCCCAGCACTCTGAGCTCTGCCAAGCGCCCTTGCACCAGTCTTTCTTCGAGAACTGGTGCAGGGTCAGGCAGGTCAGGAAGCCACAGAGAGCTGTGTCTGTGCATTGCTCTGCTCCACTTCCCGCTCGCTGCCCTCGCTCTCTTCCTTTTCCTCTCCTCCTGACTTAATCGTCGTCCCGATGTTCACCTGTTCCACGATGCTGTCCGCTAGCCCCGAGAAGTCCAAGTCTGCACAAAGCAAAACGCCTTCCCGCACACTATGGAAGTCGGATTCCTCGGGATCGTAGAACTCGCAGTCAACCTGAAAGCTCCCTCTCCTGTTCCCTGTTCCCTGGGGCCCCGCTTCCGCTTCATGTTTTGGGCCGGCTCACGCTGCGTATTGGGGGAAAGCAAGAAGTAGAAAGCAAGAACCAGAAGGGAAGAACGAGCGCAGCAGCTGCCATATGCTGACACGTAGCAATTCTACGTGAAGCGGTCTTTCCCCGAGGCACTTCGTCCCGTCCGAGGCCGATCATGGCCACTCCCCGCTGGAAAGCGCGGTAGTTTCTGACCTCAACTCCCAAGCCGACTGCTAGCTCTCGCACTAAGGAAACCTTCCCTTTCTCAGCTTACAGCCTCTCAACAGGGAAAGGCGCTCCGCAGGGCCTGCGGAAGAGCGAAGCCGCGAAGCCGCGAAGCGAAGCGAAGAGCGGAACTTTCCCCGGAACCGCCGGGGGGGGGGGGGGGCCCCCGGCTGGGGCCCAGGCGGCAGCGCCCGCCGGCGGCTTCGGCGCTTCTCCAGGCCCCGGAGTTTCCGGGGGCGGCGGCGCTTGCCCGGCGGCCTCCCCGGAACCGCCGCCGGGGCGGCGGTCCCTCAGTCGCCTCGCTGCGGTTGACAGAGGCGCCTTCTTCACTCGAGTTCAGATGTTCAGATGTTTAGATGTTTAGATGTTTAGATGTTTGTATGTTTGTATGTTTGTATGTTTGTGTGTTTGTGTGTTTGTGTGCACCAGGTTTGATCGCTGTCTGAGATTCGATATGCCTGTGTTTCGTTTACCTTCACGAAACGCTCGTCATCATGGCTCGTTCCCGTCAGGTGGGGGGTTGAAAACCATGATTCAGCCGGGGCAGAGGGCAATGCAGCATCGGTGTTTGTCTGCAGCCCTGCGCAAGCTCGCAGAACCCAAGCAGAGTAGCAATGATCAGAAATGTAATCCCAAACGGAAACACGAAGCGACTTGAAGCGACCTGCAAGAGCCTGGAAAGCAAAGAACACTGCCGAGAGCTGAAAGCTGAGGGCTCCTAAGCTGAGGCCCCGGGCCCCTTGGGCCCCGGCAGTGGCCGGAACGTTGCAGCGCCGGTGGCCCCGGCCCGGGCAGCCGAAGCTCCTCACGTTCACAGCGGCGCTTTGTGAGGCTCTGGGGACTCTGGGGGCACTTGGAACTTGGGCTCCTCCTCCGGCTTCTCCACCGAAACCTCTGGCAAAGCCCACCAGTCGGACTTGCGGACGGAGGGTTTGGATTGTTTAGATGCCGGAAGCTTCTGGACCTTGCTCTTGCCTCCAGGTGCTGGTGAAGCAACAGCTGCAACTGCGTTCCGTTTATGTGACGTTGCAGCTTCCCTGGTCCGGCTGGCTTGTGGCTGGAGCATCTTGACGTTGACTCTGTTAGACGTCAGCCAGGCGCCCCAGTCCTGGCAAGGCCAAGGTCACAGGATGTCACAGGATGTCACAGAGCAAACGAGCAAGACTCGAGCACAGCATCGCTCCTGTTGGACTGGAGGCCCAGCATGGGCCTCAGCCTCTCTCACAGAGGCCGTCGAGCGCTTCAAGGCCGAACGCAGGGACGGCCGGGACGGCCGGGAAAGAAGCGTTGGAGGCTCCGCCATCGGCTTGCTCCTGACAGGTCTCGTGGAAGCGGCCACTGTCGCTGAAACCTTCGGTGTTGCCACTTTGGCAGCAGTCTTGGCTTTCCGGCTCCTGGCATTGCTGCCTGCACTTTTTGTCGGGTATACATCGTCGCTTTCATCGCAATCCTCCTCCTCCTCCTCCTCCTCGATCTCGGCTCTGGCCAGCTTTGGACCACGGCTCGGACGGCTCGGACGACTCGGACGGCTCGGCTCCACGCGCCGAGCTGAGTAAGTGACCAAGCGGTGGCCTTTGGCCGCTTTGGCCTTGGGCACCCCCGCGGCCACGGCGCTCGCGCTTTGGGAAAACGTCGTCGCCTTCTTCGCTTCGTGGAGCCGCAGGGAGTGCCGCCGCGCAGGAGGCCCAGGTGGCGGCCCAGCAGCCATGGCAGCTGAGCTAAGCTGAGCTTCTGAACTGTAGTGGCCCTAAGCCCCTGTAAAGAGCCCTCGTGATAACGACGCTGGACTGATGCAAGACGATACCATGAATTGCAACTGCCGAACATGTCTGCACAGTCCGGAGGCAGATTCGCTAGCAGGAGGAGATTTTTTGCTCAGGTTCCCAAGTATCCCAACAACGCTCCCAACAATGCAAGTCACGAAAGACTGACGACAGCACAACTGACAGCAGTCAAAGGAACGGACGAGACTGAAGCCAAACATGCACATCCTCACATCCTCACCCAATCAGGAAGCAGTCAACAAACATCCTACCGTCCTTCCATCTTTCAACTCCACCTTTGCAAATGAACTCGCTGCCAGTCGCTGCAGACATGCCAGTGATGTTGCCCCTATCAGCCGAAGCTATCAACGTCCCATGTGGCAAACTTGAGAAAGCCGCAAGTTCTCTGGAGCACTGAGACAACATCCAGCTCAATCTTACAACACGCGCCGTTTTCATGCGAGTGGACGTGGAATGCATGCTGCGGAAGCTCCGTTTGGACCAGCGCACAAACCGGAGTGCAATGCCGAATCTGCTGTTTGCAGCTCTTGTCGCTCAGATCTGATCTGCAAGCGGCTCTTAAGCTTCATCACGGCTGTCACTGTGCAAATCTCCCAAGGCCCGGAGATGCCCCGGCCGCAGCAAGGAACTCTCGAATTGAAGGAATCTGTGCTTTTGGCTTTTCTTGCAGAGATGGACGCCGTGCGTGGGGGTCTCTCCGGTCGTTACGGCGAGCTCTATGAGAAACTGTCAGCTTGTCACTTTGCTTTAACATTCTGAGTTTTGTCTTGTCGCCTTCATTGATCAGTCTCATCGTCGCGGTCATGCCAACAAGGAGAACGCCTGTGATTGCCTGCCTGATCAGCCTCGCCAACAACGTGATACTGCCCCATCACTCCGAGCTTCCTAAGACTACGTCAGTCGCACTGGTCTCCGGACGGAGCTTGTGGAGATGGTCGAGCGCAGCCGAGCCCCCCGCGCGAGATCCGAGTCATCGTGGTGCTCGGCCGCCGCCAGGTGGGGAAAACGAGCGTGGTCTTGGAGCATGCAGTTCAGCAACGAGAAGAGCGTGCACTACCATGATCTCAAAGCACGCGCCATGTAGTTGGGCTCGGACCGAAGCAGGCGTGCGGCCAAAAGCACCTTGGCAAACAGGAGGACCAGCGCATCATCAGCGAGGTCTCCGAGAGGAGCCGGCAGAACATGACCGTCATCTTCGACATCCCCCACAACGCCGAGGATGCTGATGCCACGCGTGTCTACGAGGACTTGAAGGGCATGGTCTACGATGACACCTCTCACAGACGACCGGTGCTCGGTGTCATCATTTTGAGCAACCGCTACCAGATTGATGCCTTCCCGCAGAAAAAATGGGCGTGTAGAAACGCTCTGGGTCGGCAACCTCGAAGAGTCGGAGGCGACCCAGTACGTCGGCAAGCTCCACCGGCTTGACGGAACTGGCGTGGGCGAGGGCGAACCGCGCTTCCCCCTGTGGGAGGTCTCCCAGCCATCGTTGCGAGCGCGAGGACAAGTCGACATGCCAGGACATTGACGAAGATGATCGCAGAACAGGGTGCCGAAGAACGGATGGCCTCAGCCTGACCCGCCTCTTGACTTTGGACAGCCTTTCATTCCCTTTGGAGGATGTATTGCCAGGCCCTTCAGCGACGTGCTCTACTTCGACAGGAAGCGGGTCGCCTTCCAGAAGCGTTGTGAGGGTTGCCACACGGGAACAGATGCAGTCGCGTCTCAACTCGCAAGGACCTTGCAGTGCCAATTCGCCCCAAGGAGGGGTCGCCTCGTTGGCCTGATCGATTGGTGTCCCAAGCTTGCGCAAGTTTGTGCACCTATAGAGCCCCAGTTTACGTAGAATCTGAGGCCCCTATTGCAGCTCAGCCGGGTCCGAGGGTCGCTCTTCCTGTGGACGCTCTCTGCTGTGCTGTTTTGGAGTCTCTGTTGCAGGACGCTGGGAGCCTGGGCGCTTGCAGCTGCGGCGCAGCCGTGGCCGGGGGCCGCTGCAAAGCTCAGTCAACGAAAGCTCGCTTTGTTAAGGGCCCGGTCGCGGTGAGGAGATCCTCAGGTCCTCTTGGTCCTCTTCCCTTAGCAACACGAAAGGAGAGGACAAAAGCAGACCCACGCGGCCGCATTCCCGCAGTCGCCGATGTCTTCCTATTTTGCCCAGAGTCTGCATCGTCGGCATGCGCAGCCGCAGAGACGCGGAGGAGGCGGAGCCTTTCGCGGGAGCTTTGCAGATGCCCAACTTTCATTGCCTCGATCTCTGAACCGGGGCATGAGAGGAATATGCCGGCCATGGCAGAAGCGACCTGCAAGCACCAGATGCCCCAAACCCCAACGACTCACTCCTCCAGACCGCTCCTTGGCACCACGGAAGGAAGCGACCTGACCACAAGATGAAATGTGAAAGGCCGTGCTCCCGGAACCAGTCCCGAGGCAGGGCTCATGTACACGCTCGGAGACGTGTCAATGACCAGCTAAAGACGGGAACTCTAGTTTCCTGTGCATAGATCCCGCCTGCGAGGAGGATGTCGAAGATGCTCACACCTGGACGGTCAGTCCGATCGAACTTCAAATTTCGGGAAACCCGAAACTACATGCAACCCATGAGATGCACGCAGAACAGAACAAGACTTCTTCAGGCAACGGTATTCCGAGCAAACCTACTCAGACAGAACAGTCCTCATCCAGATACCCACCGCAAGCATTCCGAGAAAGCCAAGTCTTACCACACCAAGTCGTACCGCAAGGCTGCTGAAAGGGGCTACGGAGGGGGGGGGGGGGGCAAAGGGAAGCGAAGGGGCCTACGCACTACTTGCACTCTGAGGCTCCAACAATGCAAAGCCACAGCCCGCCTCCCCTACGGCGCTGTGTGGCTTGCTTGTGGCAAAAAGCCATGCTACCCTTCTTGTGTTGCCTGCTCTGCCATCTGCACACGCATTTGCTGGAGCGGCGCGGGTTCAGGCAAATCAAGCACAATAAAGCATGATTCAAACAAACATGTCGCAAAATAGACGAACTAATGCCCAATCGGTTTGAAAACAAGGAAAAATAAACGCTGAACATCTGTTTGCGAGCCTTCATAACACGCCTTGACGCTGCCCCACCCACTAAGCCAACCACCCCCCTTTACTCGTCCCGCTCAAAAATGCAACATGCAAGTCAGAAATTCCGATAAAGCGTAAAATCAAAAAGCTAATTTCCGAAAATCTGCTCCCTTCCCTATACCTCCGTCCCCTTGCTGTCTTGCCGTGAAACCCGGACCTGCACGCTTCTATGGACATGCGAGGCGTGCCCGATGTAAGCACTGGCAAGCGAAGTGCGTGCTGCAAAGCTGGGCTGGTCCACGCTGCCCATCTGGGAAATTGCTACTTTGAGCGGCATCTGGTGTCCCTCAGTGCTGCACCGCAAGCATTTCGTTGGGAGGAGGGAGGCCAGGGAGATGATCTCGCAGATGTAGTGCTGGTCCTAATGGTGATGACGTCTCGCCTCACTGGCCATCGTTACGTCGCTCGTAGTGGCCACAAAATTTCGTGGTCACTCCCACACCAAGGGTGCACGGGGCCCTCAAAACCGGCCTCGGCCTCAGCAATACTCGGCCCGCGAACGCGCGGAAGGCCTGTCCTTCCGGTCTTCTTTGCCCTGCAATGGACGCCCATGCAGATTGGGGCAGGGTGACAAACCAGATCTACCCCTTGCTGCGATCCATCCGCTGCAGTACTGTTCTGCCGCCGCCGCGCAGTAGAAGCCACAATGGCTCCTATGCGAAAAGACGACAGCTCCTCTTCCTGGCATACTCTGTTGGACTGAGGGTACCGCATGCAGTAAGAAGCAAATTATAAACTTCCGCCATCAGCTGGGGTAGAGGACACCAACGCAAGATTGAGGCAGACGCCAGTGATGCGCCAAGACGTCGCGGTCGCGGATAGCCTGTTTAGGTACTGCAGCACCCCGGAACTCCGAGCGGCGGCTTCAGGCAGGATGTCAACAGCAATGGAATCCTCCGTCATTCGAGCGAACTGCGGTCGCGGCCGGTCTCCGACCCGTGCCAATCCTGAATGAGGCACAAGACAAGATTTTCCACCGAATAACACACGGCATCCGCCCTCAGCCTTGCAATCTTGAAAGTTTCAACCCTTATACCAGTATACTTCTTATAATCACGGCACGAGCTTCAGATTCTTTTCCACTCTAAGCTCCACTGTTGGGCCGTGCTTGAGCCTTGGTTTGACCTGCGGTGAAACACTGGATTCCTATATGTTTCTGTACATAGGGGAAAAGTGAACTATCTGTTACGCCCTCATCGCATACACAGCCTTGTCGTGTAATGCGATCATTGTGAAACTTTTCCTACATCCACCACGGTTCTCGCATGCTCCTGTGAGCTTTAGTCTTCACTTCTCGCACGCTTTTGAGCACTTTTAACCGTCTTTGGCTTCTTCTTTCCTTCTTCAGCTTTGTGGATGTCCTAGAAATAGGTTGCGTGAAATCCACACTCTGCTGGCATGGCTTCCACTGTCCTATTGAAAAACTATGGCGCACTCACTATTTTCCACGTCGCGGCCGTTGCTGTAGTCCGCAACTCGTCTTGGCTAGCCCATTGGCGCTTTCAGAAACTTTTGGCATTTTCAGCCTTGGCTTCTTTCGTAGCGCTCGTAGTGACTTTTGTCGTGTGCTTAGGAGCCTTTACGTAATTTACGTGGCATCCTTTTAGCTTCTTTGAAACACGTGGCTTTTGGCTTGCCACTTCTCTGCTTTGGACGTTTCTTACGCCCCTCTCTTTTCGCACTTTGGACTTTTGTCCTCACTCTCTTCCTTCCTTTCTCACAGGCTTTTCAGCGGTGTGAGACTCAAAAGAAAACTAGTTAGTGTTGCTGGGCTTTTCCCGCCCTCACTAATCTTGGTCCTTTAAACCGCATCAACCATTCTCAATAACCATATCCCATGGTCCGCTCTTCTGTAGAATCCGGTGTCCCCGGATCAACTCCAGCTTCTACATTCCTCCTTTGCCTCCTTCTTCTAGCATGCTTCTCTTCTTCACGCTGCTCCATAAGCTCCGGAGTTGCTTCATCGGCTTCTGCTTGACTTGCTGCTCTGAACGCATCAAAAGCCATCTGTGCTTCTTCACCTAGCACTTGTAATCCTGCTGCTTGCAGCATCTCTCGCCTTTGACGGAGTGTCAACTGCCTCCATTCTTCATCACTCATCCCGGAAATAGCTCTTCCTGCTTGTTGCACTTCTTCTTCCGAGTACACTTGACCTTCTTGTTCTCCTTCATAATCTTCTTCCTCTTCAACATTACCACCTTGAGTCTCTTCGTCTTGGTCATACCAATAACGCCATTGCTGCTCTGCAAAGTCGCGAACGCATTCAACACAGGCGCAATTTTCGTGAGTACTCTTACGTCTTGAGCAGTTTGCAGCTCCACACCAGCTGCATGGGAGCATACATATCTGCTCCACTTCACTTGTTCTTTGCCTTTCAAAGTAGGCCTTCTTCTTGTCACCTGGGTGACACTTCCAGCACGATCGTAGGCCTTCTTCTTTGGCTTGGGCAAGTGTGACTTAGTCTTCTCTGAATACCACATGCAGGTCTTCTTGTGGTACACTCTCCTGTTTGGATACACATAGACCTTTTCTGCATCCTTGCCCTTTACTTTCCGATTACACCACTTCACAATGATGTACATCAGCTTAACCGCTTGCTGAATGAGGAAACATGTCCCCACCAGACTCAGCACAATCATCATAACATCTTCCATTTCTTCTCTGGTGCTCTCTCCGTCACTTTGATCTTCTTGGCTAAGTCCTTGCTTGCCTTCTTGGGCCAAAATGGTTGCGGTACTTCCATGTATGCACAAACTCAATGCTAGAACAATTGACCAATTAGTGCTTATGTAGGCTCCTGGAATCTTCTTCGTATCTTCGGTTTTCCTTTCTTTAGCTTCTTCTCCTATCTTCTTAAGCTCTTCCAAACGCTGGTCCATAACTTTGCCTTGAGCGAGGATTTCTGCCCTTTTCTCTTCCGATAAGACGATCTTCCCTGACGCTAGGGCTTCAATCTTTTCCTTCCTCGTACTCTCGAGCTCTTCTTGCTCCTTCTCCAGCTCTTCGGCTGTCTTCTTGAAACTTTCCACGACTTCGTCCCTTTTTCTTTCCTTGTCCTTTTTTGCCTTCTCATGTTCATCATCTTCTTCTGATTCACTCTCTCCTTCTTCATCGGATTCTGGATCGGACGCAGCTTCACTTTCTTCTTTCTTCTTTGGCTGCTTCTCTTCTTTGTCTGGCTCTTCACTTGTGGCTCGGTCTTCTCTCTCCTCGTTCAACTTCTCCACAAGCTTCCAGACTTCCTCCACTGAGGGCCTGTCTTCTCTCTTTTGCTTTAGAAGACGCTCTATGTACTGCACCGATTTGATGCTCTTGCACTTTTCAACCATAACGACCTTCAGGCCTTCATCATCAGCCATCGCTTTGGCTTTCTCTTCTTTCCTATCTCTTCCAAAGAGGTTAAGGGCCTTCAAGCAA